AACCATCGTCTCGGACGTCGTTGGAACCGTCAAAACCGCCGTCGATAGCGCTATCGCCTGGGCTGGACAAAAGGTTGATAAGCTGAGTGCCGAGCAAGATACTACGGGTCCGTATGCTTCGCCAGCCACTTGCATGCCATCCGATCTCGATGCTATTGCGAGCGGCATTCTGCCTGCTTTGCCGGCTGCAAGACAGTATGATGGGGGTGTTGATGATGGAGTGAAGGAAGCAGCTGGTACTGAGAAGAGGGCTAAGTTTAGCGGTGGAGAGGATGCAAGGAAGTGAGAGAAGTTGGGTGAAGGGGAATAGCACAGGTTGCAAGGCTTTGCAGATGACCTGAATGGCGGCGAATGAGAAGGTGGATTCTGCATGAAGAAGTGACATATGATACCCAAACATAACTTCGAATGATGAGAGAGAATGCGATGTACTCGCAACAGCAAACTAAGATGATGAATAACATGCGGCCATGAAGCAATCATCAAAGTAAATGAGGATGGTCGCGACCGTCAGAAGCAGTCCTTGAGGTGATGTCGAAGAGTCAAACTGGTGAGATTCGGCTTGATGGTTCCCCTTTTGAGCCTAGCAACTACCTAAATAGGCCTAGCCGTGGCCTTCACTCGTTTGCTACCCGACCCATCTCCAAGTCCCAGTTTGGCTTGATTGTTGACGTCTCTGCGAGTCTATCTCCTTTCCCTTAACTCATACCTCCTCACCATGGCGTACCAATGTCCCATCTTCTCAAAGAATTTCACTTCCGAACAAGCGCTGGAGAGCCACACCGGCACCAACGACGCCACTCTCCGCTGCGCTCCCACAGGTCACAAATGCGAGCGAGAGTTCTGCAGCCAGAAGGCGATGGAGCAACATCGCGACGCACCGCCTCATAGCGCCATTTTCAGCTGCGACGTGCGTAAGAAGCCTTTCGGAAGCAAGCAGGCTGTGGGATTGCATAAGAAGTCGTCGTCGCATAAGCAAATGCTGGCTCGCACAAACTCCGTGACTGGAGCGGGTGCATCTTCGGGCTCGGGGAATGTAAGTTCGCAATGTTTTGGCGTCGTAGCAGGTATTGGTCGGACTCTGACGTGTATGCGAGGCTTCATCTTACCAAGCGCAATCTCGCTCATTGGGAATGACCTCCGCTTCGATCGAATCGCTGTGGGATGAAGACCAAGACTGGATACTTTGCGATAAAGATTGTGGGTGGTGCGGACATTGCGCTGATGGAGTCGACTACTGAATCCTTGCGAGCGTACCTAGATACCTGGGTAAGCTCAAAAGAGCTCTCAGTCTTGGGTACTACCGTCTAGAAATGGCATTAGCTGAAGCCACCACACAACCTGTGAATTAGCTTGTATCAAATCAGTTATGGCCAACTCCGCCGTTGGAGTAAGGTAGTTAGGGACGATAGATCTCGTCTCCTTCGATAGCTTCGCTAGTTGTCTGTCGCGCGTCAGGATCCCTAACGTTCTCTTCCAAGGTTGACACTTATAAAACAAGGAAGAGAATAGGCATTCTTGGCGAACTACTACATAGGTATATATGCGAAGTACAGGATACTCAAATAATAGTAATGGATCTACGTTCTCCAAACAAGGCCATCCTGCCAACCTCACTTGTCTTGTGATCGCCCAATTCACATAGCCCGACTCGACTATACGTGTCTTGGCTTCCTTCGATAGCCTGTAGGATCAAGCAGAATAATGTGTGTAAACCTTCGCGTTCGTCTATTCCTGTCTCCAATGATCTTTCCCACGCCGCTTTGTCCATTTCGCCATCGTCAATTGCATCCCCATCGTAAGCATCATGCTGTACGCATACTGGTAGACAGACCAAGGGTGCTTGATCTGGACTGCCAAATTCCCAAAAGTCCCAGGATCTGCTCATATCATGCTCAGAAAGTGTGCCGCTAATGACCGGAACCAGCCCGGATGATCCGTGCTCCACTTGCATCAATTTCAGCAGAACGCCAGACAAGCTCAACGATGCTCTTGACGTTACTCCAAATGGATGGTCTTCGCAGGTTGTTGGGTCCGAAACATCGAGAATATCGACCAGTGGAGATAAGACGATATGACCCGCGTTGGCGCCAGGCGGCAGAACATCCCAGAATCTCACACCACCATTGATTGAGGCCCATGACCATGAAGGTGCCCTATCTGTTTTGGTTGAGCACATTGAGTGCTTGGAACGTTTCGCCTCCCATAGAAGACCGGAGATCATATCGTGCCTCCACAGACCTGCGTGGTAACTGTCATCTACAGCCTTTCCAAATCTCTTCGCTATGCCAGCTATTGCAGGTAACCTATCTTCCTCGTACGTGAGATTTCGAGACGTAAACTCTTCTACTATCTTATACCAATAGCGATAGTTGTCGACCTTTCTTTTCACGGATAATGGTATACCATTTAATATGCAGTAGAGAGAACGATGATTGTCAAATGATATATCCCGAGAGCGCGGAATCCCTAACGGGTGCTTTTCGTTGGTCGATAGCGTCGGGCAACGCCAGATAAGACGGTGTTTCGAGAATATGATGGAGCGGCGAGACAAGATCTGCTCCTGCAGAACCCAAGCTCTTTGGCCTAAGACATTCCAAACTCCCGCTGCAAGGTCTCCTGGATCACCCGATATTTCACGTTCGTTTGGATGCCGGGATAGGTAGCACGCCTGTCCGAATAGCACCACCGGACAAGGCCAAGAGTTTAGACCCAGACGCTCCCTGAAACATCCTTGTGTGGAATCTGCTGCGGCTGCCGCCGAAATGGTTATAATCGAATTGCCATACACCTGTCCCATTTTTGGTGCTTCTTTTGCCCAATCTTCTTGCGTTTCTTGCTCTTGGATGATACATAGAGAGTCGATCCAAATGTATTCTATACCTATCTCCCTGCAGACATGAACGGCGTCTCGAAAAGTCTTTGGCAATTCCTCGTCTTTGATGCCTCGCTTTCGACAAGGAAGGGTCCGATCAGTCGTCGACAAAGGTCGGTTTTGGGGATCTCCCCAGCAATGGCTTAGAGTAGCGTAGTAACCACTTCTTTCACTTCCAGACTCCAGATAGCATCTGCTAGATTCTTTCTTCCCTACTGCTAGGACCCTTGTTGGTAGTGGCGGAGGCTGAGAATCAACCTGGGAACAGGCTGGATGCGAATTCATGCACATGTGCAGCCAGGCCTTGATCCTGGACAAACTTGCCGATGAGCCCGTGTTGGTATCGTTACCTGATGGGAGACATTCTTTCGGCAAAGCGAGATGATCGACTATTCCAATGGTTAATCGTGAAGTACCGGGGGTGTTCTGAGGGTGGAGAACACTCACTATCCATGAGTTTACAGCTCAGTCGTGCGCTCGGTATAGGCGGTGATTCCCCACACATCACGGTAACGGTGACCGCACCATGATCATCGCCAGTCAGATGAGCTGCCCATTTCTCTCTATAGAATCCGAGTCTGATGCCTCCACTCAAGGAAGCCGACTCAAGACGTCTTTTAGCAACCCATCCACCCCCGGGCTGCTGACACAAGCGCCAACTCTCTTCCCACGCTATCAAGAGCAACAAGCAAAGATGGCAACCTTGACGTGCACTCTTGAATAACGCATCAAATGTGTGGTGATGGTTTACAATGACCTCATGGAAGCTGTTGATTTCTTCCCAGTGCGTACTGTTCAGGTGACCGAGACCTATACAATAGGAACAAAGTCTTTCACTCTCTGAACGCTCTGGTATCCGAATTTGACCAATTCCAAAGCAGCTTGGTTGAGCTTGGTCGCCACCAGGGGGTTCAATCCATTGTGGATATATGATTCGTGTGCCATCCGGCACTAATTCCGAAAGCGCAGAGGTCTGGGTGTTTACGGTTGGAGGGGTTGGAGACGAGTGTATCTGATCCATCGGATAGAAACACGAGAACACCCACGTGTATTTGGAAATCAGTGCCCACGTACTTCATTGGGCTACAGCGATAATGCGGGCCAATCATTGGCTCTGATCAAGAGCACACGAACGATCTTGGTGAGCGATGGAATTCAAAGTTGAATGTGGGCTGGAGGAAGGAAACGATGGGGTAAGAGGTAGCTGGCGGGGCACGGCTGGACGAAGATATGTATGTGGGTGGGCTTCCAAGGCTAGATATGGTGGCGGGAGTTGCAGGGCAGTGCACATATACCGATCAGATATTTCCAGCGTATCAAATGCAATGCAAGTTAGCAAAATAATCCTGCCTAGTCGACGCAATGTTCTGATTCGCGCTGATTAACGAGATGATCGCACAGCCCGGGCGAGGCGCAAGGCAGCTTGATGAGCAAGCTGGCACAGACACCACAGTCGCAAGCCTAGATCCAGTCAGTATGATTGCCACATTGTAGTGATGAGTTCTGGCTCGCAGTCCAACTTGGAGTCGAAGCATACTTGGTGTCTGTGATACCGCATTACACCTGGGCAGGCACGGCAACAGAGCTTGCATGTCCAGTTCGCTTTCGCATTACCAGACCAGATGTCTGTTAGTATCAGATCAGATCCTCACTCATAGGCAGCCACCTGCCCGTCGAATCTCGCTTTATAGGCAGTAGCAGCCACCGTCCTCGCAGAGATCGCGTCCATCGCGACCCGAGTTCACCAACCCCCCGGCGGACCCGCAAAAAGTGGGGAAACCGTTCCCAAACCATACTAACCTCGGTCCCAGCCAAAAGCATCACAACGGCGCGATCGTGACAAGCGCGTCTCTGCAAACGCCCTAGAATCCTCCTATGCTCCTCTGTTTCCCAATTCGTAACCTCTCTCATACCCAGCACCAGCTTTAAGAAGATTCAGAAAGCAGCACTCACCACTATGACGTCGATAACCTCGCAGTCGCACCCCTTGCTGCAGGCCTCTTCAGCTGCGTACGCTATTTTGGCGATTGGGCATACGGTAATAGATCATAGAGTTCTTTAGGTATGGTGGTGTACTGACAAAATATTGCAGCTGAAGGGTATGGACCAGTTCAAGCATCCAACGATGAACACACTGCCGCTCATGCTCCGCGGCGCGAGTAAGATCGGTTGGTACGAGGGAAGCGGGTTCTTTGTTATTATGAGTAAGTCTACAAGCAAATTGAAAAAACATAAGTAGTTTCCCATTGACGTTATGATAGGCATCCTCAACTACAAGTGGTCGGTCACGGGTATCTACGATGTGTACGACAAGAGCATCGCGGGTGTCCTGACGACTCTGCTCGCGGTAGCAGGTGCAGCTTACTGGAAGAGCAATGATAGACCTACGGCTATCACGCTGGGTGTTGTTGCTATCCTGCAGGGACTTGGTGTGAGGAATGCATCGTACTCGCGCTTGACATAGATGTAATGGCATGTGCATAGCAGAATCAAGATGTGTAGGAAAGACACATTATTATTACTGCTGATACAGGCCCACTACTTGAACCTGACATCGTTAAGAAGGGACGTTATGGGTATAGAACACCATGACAGCACCTGTCCAACTTTTGAACCATTAACCGTGAAGACAATCAAAGCATTACCCATACCGTGAACGCCGTCACCTTTCCCTATGCCATTTCCATACTAACGAGTGCTTCTTCGGCGCACCATTCTTATTCTTTTACTCCTGGGTCTCCTTGTTCTTCTGGATCCTGACGGGTACGGAGCGCTTAGCGCTGCCGAGCAGACGCTCAAGGCGGGCGACGTAGTAGTCGGCGAAGCTCTTGCTGTCATCACGCTTCCACTCATCGTTGGCCAGCTGCTCGAGGCGGAGGCATGTACGGTCGACCATGTCTTCGATTTCCTCAGCCCAGTTGCTCTTCTCAGTGACACCATCGCTCTTCAAACTAGCGCCGTCGCTACCGCCAACGATAGTCTTAATCGACGCGGTGCTCGTCTTCATGAGTGTGGAGGGGAAGCAAGGTGCAACCGAGTTCGTAGGCAAGTCGTCGGAGGTGAAGGTCAGGTACTCTACGATGCGAGGGTTGACGGCAGGGGAACCTAAAGCGATAGGAACTGAGCCCTCAGTCACATCGATGGGGTCAAGGGTCTTACGAGCTTGTCCCGGGTCCTGCTTGTCCCTGCCGCCGTCGCTCAACACCTCGGATATGCTCGCAATATCGACTTCTTCGTCCTCGTTGATGGATGCCTCTGGTGAGTAGTTGCTGGAGCCCACATCTCCATCGCGGTGACGGAGCTTGCGGTCATTGATCTTCAGCTGCGCGAGTCTATCGCCAACCACACTGAAGCCGCGACCGCGGGTCACAGGGAAGCGATATGAAACGGACGGAGCGGGAGAACCGAAGATAGGTGTGTTAATGGGTGGCGATGGGTAGGCGGCCTCCAGGGCAGCCTCGTTGAGCGACTCTTGGATAGGGCCTAGAATCCTGGCGACGGCAGTATAGTCCATCTCCGGAGGAGGGTCGACGGGCTCGTAGGGACTGCCTACAGACTCAGTGGCTGGTGTAGGGTTCGGCACCGACGGGCCGTCGGACTGAGAGTCCAGCGAAGTGACCTTGGTCGTAGTGGTGGAAGTCATGATGCTGTTGGAGTTGAGGGCTGACTTGCGAGTATTCCTGACTATTTGGACTCGTTAGTGTTGCTGAGATATTCCAGCGCTGTGATAGGCCGAGCCAGGTGAAGCAGACTTCTGGTTGCGGACGGTGATGGAGTCGGCGGAAGTGCAGGTTAGCTTACTTGTATCAGTGACTGGCGTCGGGTTATTATAGTGACGCAGTTGATAGTCTGTGACGCAGGAGGTCGACCGTGAATGTAGTCGCTGGTAGTTGTCCGGTCTGAGTGTGGGGAGTGCGGATGGTGATTGTGGAGAAGGTGCGTGCGCCTGCCCAAGTTCAAGAGCGTGGAAGCAACGAACGCGTCACGGGCAAACACAGCACCGGAGGTAGCCGCAGGACCTAGACCGTTGTATGGAGGTTAAGAGATGCTGGGGGTACAAACGGTTTGTGGGGTGAAATGCTCAATTCGAAGTGATGTGCTGAGAATTGCCTGCACTTGCGCTTCACCTACACCCTCCGCGGTAGATGTTCCAGACCAGCAGCACGTATTGAGCCCATACTGCGCTGTCGGATCGCTTCAATTTCGCCCGATGGTGTCCTGAACACGGAAGTGCTAGAGGGCAGATCGTGAAGTGCGATGCCAGTCGTGTCCGCCGGCCCACTGTTCGGCTCACCCAAGACCTCGTCGCTCCTCTTCGTCTCATTCTTGGCAGCGTACCACGACGGGAGATTGTAATACGCTCCGCACACGAAGATGCCGATCCATAACACCAGCTCGGTGCCATAGATGACCAGACCCAGGACATCAAGCTTAGGCTGGAAGACGACTGACACCAAGGAGAAAAGATCTCCCAGAGCATCAATACCGACAAAGATGAAGGATATGCCACGAACCGTCCGGTGAACGTAGACATCCACGTAATGTCTCAGGACACCAGCAGCAAGCAGAGCGGCTGAAGCAACAGCCATGAGGATACTGGGCCAATGCAGTCCCTCTGACTTGGCATGCTGAATGGCGAAGATGAGACCAGCTTGAATGCCGCCCATGAGGCACGCCACAGGGACGACAACTGCGAGCGAACGGAGAACCGACCAACTCTTTGGGATGTTAGGTGTCGTACTCATACTCGAGCTGTTGACGGACCACTTACCTTCTCATAGTAGTAACACTGGATCCACGTCACCAGGCTCAGTACGGTAAGAATCTGAGGCTGAATGCGCAGAGCAATGTTGTAGTCCTCAGCGATGTTGTAAACGCCAAGGGGAACCCCAGCCCACGCCCACAGCATCATCATGGTCGGCTGGAGTCCAGTAGCATTATGCCTTCGATAGTTGATAACGATTTGTGGGATGAGCTAGACCACGCTCTTAGCTGAGCTCGTTGAAGATAGTTGTGGGAGACATGGGTACCTGAATGGACCAACACACCTGCTTTGGTCAGCACAGTTACTTTTGAGATCATGAACAATACATACTGCTCCTAGCGTTCCCAGCACGTTCGCGGCCACCGGTACATCCATGATCAGACGACGGCAGTCGCGCTGTGTATGATACTTTTGTGATGTTCAGATGTGAATCGTCTGCACGCTCCACTGCGCGTCCACAACCTCCATCTTATCTACGCGCCAAGAGCAATTGTACAGCAGCAACATCTTTCCAATGGCGCTACGAAGTCACGGAAGCACGAGAATTACGAACTCTGATGCCGACGCATAACCCGCAGATGTACCGCCGTCAACGGCGAAGGCGCGATGACGCACGACATGGTTGACCCTGGAACGCGTGCATACCGCCGAGGTCCGATCATGGAAGAGCTTAGAAATCACCAGTTGCTCGCCGCGACATATCGCAACCACCACAACGTCTTCGAGACAGTAGAAGATGGCGCAGGAATCGAATGAGAAGGATGAAGGTCAGGATATCGCAGGAAGGCCTGGGTACAAGAAGCTGGCGACTGGCATTATACTTGGTCCTGATGGCAAGCCGTGAGTACCGTCGACTCTCCAATGCGCCAGACGACATTCGCGCAGGACAACTACCATCTTTACGATGAAGACGGTTGCTAACATATGTGTCCGAACTACAGATGCCGAGCCTGCAACGACCTAACCTCCCTCATGGCCATGTCAGGCAAAATGCCCAAAAAGCGCACACCAGCCGCCGCTCCTCCCACAACCGCACCCTCCCTCCCCGCCGACTGCCCACCCGACGTCGAAGCCCTCGGCCGCTCCTCATGGACCCTCCTCCACTCCATAACCGGTGCATACCCCACGAACCCGTCTCCACAACTTCAATCAGAAACCAAATCCTTCCTCACCACATTCGGCAAACTATACCCATGCTGGGTGTGCGCCGAAGACTTCCAGAAGTGGATGCAGAAGAACACACCGAGAGTCAGTTCGAGGAGTGAATTTGGAGAGTGGATGTGCGAGGCGCATAATGCTGTGAATGAGAAGCTGGGGAAAGAGCAGTTTGATTGTAAGAAGTGGGAGGAGAGGTGGAGGACGGGGTGGAAGGATGGGAGGTGTGATTTCTAGGGTCAGGAGATAAGGGATTTGGGGGATGTGGTGTATGATTATGTGTACATGAAGATACTGGATGGGCGATTCGTTGCATAGCGAAGGACACCACTCTGTACGAATACGAAATAGATACCGGCATTGGGCGGCGTTCAAGGGCACAACAGCTCCACACTACAAGCAAGATCTAGAGATTAGAAGAATGGATACGACATTGCTCTATACTCGGCTTCCAACGCGACACTTACTGCCCCTCATCTCCAACACTGGTCCGCTACCAGTCCATTCGGTCTCGACCGCACCAAGCGTACTTAGATAACACCACTCTGGTACAAAGTCAGACTATGAAGTCACAACGTGTAATACAGCACAACACACGCGACCATCTGCATCTTATACACACCACCACTTCCGCCGAATCCCCATACACATCTCCACCAATGCCTCCACCAGCCCTCCCTCCCACAAATCCCTGTCAACAACCCCAACATGTCGGTCGCCGCCATGGCCGGTGGTGCAATAGCAAGCAAACACAAATCCGACTCCGCATCTTCTCCCACCAACCCCTCCACAAACATCGACCGCAACTCCGCAATCGCCCTCTCCATACTCCTCTTCCTCATACTAGTAGCCATAACATGGTACCTCCGCCTGCACTTCGCACAAAAGCGACAAGCCGATCTGGAACGGCAGTCACAAACGCAATTGAGTGGTGGAAACTTCGAGGTCAACCCAGTAACGGGAAGAGTGGCGTGGAACCGGCAGTGTAGTTCCTGCGGGCATGGTAGTCAGGATACGAGGAGGAGCAGGGCGGCGATTTTATTGAAGCTGAAATCTGTGGTAGGGAGGAAGGATTCTGTTGCTGGGTCTTCATCTTCATCAACGAGTGCCCCGACACCAACCTCTCCATACAACAACGGAGATGTTGAGAAGAGGAAATGGCCCGGTCTAGCTCAGTGGCGGGCGCAAGACTCGCGGTCTACAACATTAGGCCCCAATGCCTTTGCTATACACGAGAATATGCTTCCGTTGACGTCGACGGAGCGTCCGTCACGTGTACACTCACGACGGGAATCTCTCAAAAGAGGGTCGTTTGATCCTCTTCCTCTGCATAACCCCATCTACCCGGTTCCAGCACGTCGACGCAGTTCCTCGCTCTTACAGGGTGCATATGATAAGCGGTGGTGGAGCGAAGTTGCTCGAAGGGGCTCAACGACGAGTCCGACGCGGCGATCTTCTGTGTTGGATGCTGTGCCGGAACCGGGGGACATGGGCTGGGCAGACGCGTCTCGGAGGGTTGGTAGAATTAGTACGGGGAGTGCGCATGCGTCGTGGAAGGGGAGTAGATGCGAATCGGTTATTTATGATTGGACGAGGCCTGCGGATACTGAATCACTGGCGAGGAGTGACATGGAGTTCAAAGGTGTGATTTGGGATGGACGGCAGCAGAGTAGGATAGGTAGTAAAGAGGAAGAGAAGATTCAAAGCATGGATTGGGCGTTGAAGATGTAGCATAATCAATCCCTGCAAAGCACTAACATCCATGGACACATGCAAAGTCAACATCAAGATTGCAAAGAAGCAATTCATTTCTGCCTTTTCCTATCTTAACGTACTTTGGTTATAGGAGATTCTTTCTTTCTTCAGAGTGCGCGAATTCGATGCGACATCTCCTCGTATGCCTTCCTACCATCATTTGGCTAACATTATGTCTTTCTGCTGCGAATCCAAATTACAGGATGATTGTAGACCCTTCCTCGAATATGGTAGTGAGCTCAGACCAGCTAGCTGTGGACAAATTGCGGTAATCGACTCGATCGTGGTATCTTGTGTATATCTCGCATTTGAGGGGGGACGTAGAGGAGTTTATCGCATAATCTCCTGGTAGATGAGGACTGTGGAGTGTTAGCAGAGATTCAGGGCACATACAGGACCTTCGACTCACGTTTCAGCTGCTCCTTGGTCAGGTTGTCCTTGTTCTTGTCAAAGTCGAAGAACTCCTCTGGAATCGGGTCGGCGGTCGGCTCGTCATCTGGGTCATGGTACGGCTCAAGGTATGGGTGCTTGAGCGCATCCTCGACTGTGATACGCTTGACAGGGTTGAACGCGAGTAACCGCTCGAGCAGGTCAAGCGCCAGGTCGTTGGTCTTGGGGAACATGGCCTTCCACGGGATCTTCTTCTTGAACGGCAGCGATCGGATGTACTCGCGAGCTCGGCGGGACTTGATGCCGTAGTAGTCTTCCATAGTGGGTGTGCCGAGCACATCGAGAATCAGCGTAAGCTGGTGGTGGTCTGGTGATCGTTAGTAATAACTCTGGTGTAGACTACTGGCGCAACACTTACAGTCCTTTCCGGGGAATAGAGGTTTTCCGCTAAGCATCTCTGCCAGAATGCATCCTACACTCCATACATCAATGGCCTTTGTGTACTCCTTGAAGGTAAGCATAATCTCGGGCGCACGGTACCATCGCGTTGCAACGTATTCCGTCATGAAACCCGAGTTGTCTTCGGTCGAGGCGGCTGATCGAGCCAGACCGAAATCGCAGACCTTGAGATCGCAGTTGGCGTTGAGGAGCAAGTTGGAGGGTTTGAGATCGCGATGGAGCACGTTTGCGGAGTGCATGGCCTTCAGCGCACGTAGGGTCTGGTAGATGAAGTACTGGCAATGGTCGTCCGAAAGCTCCTGTGTGCGAATGACGCGGTGCATGTCGGTCTCCATGAGTTCCTGGTACGATTAGCAACCACGGATGTCACTGAATGTTAGAGCTACACACCTGGATCAGGTACACTTCGGTGAAGGTCTCGTAGTTCCGAGGCTTCTGAATGTCGAGAATGGAGATGATGTTCTCGTGGTTGAAGTATCGGAGTAGCTTCATCTCTCGCAGTGTTCTCAGACAGAACATGGAGTGGTCAAAGGGCGTGATCTTCTTGATGGCGACCTTCTGGCCTGACGGTTTGTGTAATGCGGAGCTGTCGCGTGGTTAGCAGCAGTCTGGCTGGTACTGACAGGTGAAGCCTACCAAACAACACCGTATGCGCCCTCTCCGACGACATCTTGGATATCGTACTGCTCTGAGACATTGAAAGAGATCTTTCTAGAGCTGCCACTCCCCGCTGGAGGCATGTTGGCGGTTGTTGTGGTTGGTACGCGCTGATGCGCAGTGAATTGGGTCAATTGAGCTGGGCTCAGTGATTGCGGGGTCGCGATTGCTGGATAGTCGGCAGGTGAAGAGCTGAAGAGGCGCGATGAGGATGCGTCTGCGGTGGTTCAAGTAGAATCTACAAATGCGCTGGTCAGCTTTGGGTCCTGGAAGGCTATATGGCAAGCATTGTTCGCAGAACAGCAGGCGTGTCTTGCGCGCGTTGGTGAAACGGCACTGTGTCAGACACTGAACCAGCCCCACGTGCTGTGCCCTTTGAGCCGCAAAAGGTGTTCATGGCGGCAACGCGCACGTCAGGATACAAAGAACGACATGTGCTATTCGCCGCCACCTATGCATCCGCCCGTATCGTTTGACTTACCACAGAAGTGTGTTTGTTGGAGTCGAGGCCTGTGCAGTGCCTGGTTCAACGAGGCGTGTACTTGGTCGTGCCTGATGGAGGCGCTCGTCTTTAGCCGTTTAATGACGCTGGCTACCGAGAGATGTCGTCGACCAACCGATTGGAGCTGGAGCGGCTGCGCTTCGGAGCTTCTCGAGGATGCTGGGGTGATGCCCGCGCAAGGTGGAGAGGGAATGAGGCGGTGACAGAAAGGAGACGGATAAGGTGGGGGCAGGGTCTGTTGTACCGCCAAGTCAGTCCCAGATGCGCGATCTCAACGTGGAAGCGGGAGGGAACGTGGCGACGTACCGTAGCCCGTGGCTTCTTCCGTCGGCGTTCCAAGGTTGTGAAGGACGTGTCTTCACAGAAGAAGATGTTGCGGAGAGCACAGGGAAGGTGCGATGGCGTGTGTTTGTTGCTGCGGCGGGCGCGCTTTCCAAGTGGGATGGATGGCGGGGTCAAGCTGCTCAGCGCCAAATGCTCTCAGGTACGCTCTATTGCGACAATACAATACACGACAATACGAAGCAGCAAGGACGAATGCGCGTGAGATTCACAACTTAACAATAACAGCAGCATGCACCGCTTATGGACTGCAGATATACCTCCCCCAGGTGGCTGTCTCCGTTTGGTGTCCGCGACGGCCGCCGCCATTCATGGATACTTTGGGCTAACCGCCGACGTGATCCAGCCATTGTGTGAGCTGCGCGAGTCACATCCTGTGATTACTGCGATATGCACGAGAGCCATCTCAAACATTCGAGAATCGTTTCGCTAGCAGCATCTACCACTACTTCATGACCGCGTGCAGGACATCCCAACGGGGTCCTGGAGAGTTGCTTTTTCTGCTTTCCCCGCATCTGCCCAATGCCAGTTCTCGGTCGCTGCCTTTTCCATCACCACATGCGCCTCTTGCTGCAGGGTGGCTGCCTGTCATTCACCTCGTCGCTGAAGCTCATGGCTCGGATCCTGTAGGGCCATGGCTGAAACTGGCTAGTTGCAGGGGCCTAGTTCCACATCTGCAACGGCTATACTTAGCAGACCCATTATGAGACCAGCCTCACCATGGCGGGTGTGCCCTCTCCGAACCCATTGGTTCGCGCGCGTTCTCTCCAACTCAACCACCACCAACCGTCCTATTCTTACCTTTCCAATGGTCTAGCACAAGACTTTTGACTGTCTTATCATTGCGCTGTACGCGCCACGCATCTGCGCCGGCATTTTCTTGGGGTCCGATTGGAAGGGAGATGCCTCACTGGCCCGGCACCCGTCGACATCATAGCTGTTTGACTTCGAAGCATCTGAGACTTCCAGAAGCTGTTTCAAATGGCCGCCGAGCCTTACTAACAGGATTGAATCCTAACCTTACCCGCTTCAGGGTCTAAAATGACAGCTTCTGTCATCATCACGGTCCAGATGTTTCCGCTATCCGTTGTGGTCACTGTGGTCACCGTGCTACAAAGCTGGTGGTGGCATG